GAGCAAAAAAACAGGCTTAGCTAAAAGAAGCTAAAAGTCAACAGTATCAAAGTTATCTGAAGGTTTTTAGCTGGAAATAGAACATCAGCTAAAAGTAAGAGAGGAGAACTCAGCCAGGAGCTGCAGCAGATTTCAGACAGAATAAAGTTTTTTGAAGGATTAAAGAAATCTCAGTGTTTCTGTGAAGAATTTAATTTGACATAAAGAAAGTTTTTAGAGTTGATTTAATGTTTCTGTTGACAGATGTGTGCTAACGTTTACTGTTCAGTCTTTAAACTGATCTGTTGTGGTCCTGCAGCTCAGGTTCTTCTGTCAGGAGGTGCAGCAAAAAGCAGAACCATGTGATTCTCAGGATCCGCTTCCTACAGGACCCTCACATAAAGATGCTCTCTACTCCTGGTGAGTCTCAAACACTCAAGGATTCAAGGAGACTTCGTTGTCTTTCGCATCACCTGTGGTACATGTGGAACGAAATTTATTCTCTCACGGTCCAGTTACACCCGTAAACAAATTACAACACAGATACAGTCAATAAGATAGAATAAAGTAGAATAGTGTAAAGTAAACTTAAAAAGTAGGTAGCTAAATATACAAAATATACAAATGTAAGAGATATAGGGGATAGGGAAGTTGGGAGTAACAGCAGATTATTGCATATGTGATTGACCTGGTTAAGTGTCAGAGCAGGTTAGAGTTTAAAAGTCTTACAGCTTCAGGAATGAAGATGTTTCACAGTTTTGTAGTTTTGCACTTGATGCTCCGCAGCTTCTTGCCCGCGGGGAGCGGGACAAAAAGTGGGTGTGCTTGGTGGGTGGGATCCTTCCTGACGCTGGCTCTTGGCWCTTTCTCAACATCTGGAGATGTATGTACTCCAGTCTGCAGCTAATGTTTGTTAGTAAAATATCTCCTGTAGCACTGGGCAGATTAGAATGAATCTTATTCTGATGGAGCTCATATGGAGGAATAATCATCCTGATGAACTCGGTCTTTAGTCCAGAGTTTGATCAGTGAAACTGGTTCCTCACAGGAAGTTCTTGTCTTCTCTTCCAGTGTTTAAAAAATATCCGATCCAGAACCTTCAGTGTCCTCGAGGTCTAAAGGAGGAGGACTTCCTGGACCTCCTGAGGTCCACCTTCCCCCTGTTGGCTCACCGTGAAACTTTTGAGCTCTTTGTAACRTCTACAAGCAGAAAACTTGAGCCTCTGAAAGTTAAACCTCTGACTCCAGAGGAGATCTGCAGGASCATAAMATCCAGCGGGAACTCAGCGCTCTACATCCAGCTGAAGGTTGTTGGACTCTTGGTTCATTTTCTCTGCTTCCAGTCAACATTCAGACCTCTGTTCATGTGGAGAAATTAGAAAAGTTATTTATGGAGAATTTCTTTCAGAAAGGAAACTGCAAAAAGACTGAAGACCCTCATGGTTCACCTGGAACCACAGATCCTCATGGTTCACCTGGAACCACAGATCCTCATGGTTCACCTGGAACCACAGATCCTCTTGGTTCACCTGGAACCACAGAGCCTCCAGCACCTAAATCTGAGCTTCAAACCAGGTAAAAAGTTTGATTAAATTTATTTATGTCAAAAGTTCAGCTATCCTAACAAAAGTAAAGAAAAAAACATGTTTCACCAAACTGTCTTCATCAGAAACCAATCCAACGTTTTGATAGAGATAGATGGAACTCCTGGTTTTCAGGTCGAATCACTTCACTGTTATAATCAAGACACAAAGTTTGGTCTCTTGTCAGACRGTCAAGTGATTGACTACAGTGAGTGACTACARTAATACAAATTCATCAGACCCTCATAATTTCTGGAAAMTGAAAATTCCCTCAGTGAGAGGTGAAGATCRTGGTTYMRTGAYRCCAACAGRACCACATAATCTGCGAATAACAGAGATGGAATCCTGAGACCACCCAACTGGACTTCCTCAGCCCCCTGGCTGCACCAAGAAATTCTGTCCATAAAAGTTATGAACAGAATGGGTGACAATGGGCAGCCCTGGAGTCCAACTCCCACCCTGAAGGGGTCGGACTTCCTTTCAGCAATGGGAACCAAACTGTGACACCACTTTAAGGGACTGAATGACCCGTAACAATGGGCCAACAGTGGCTCTCGAGGAACACAGTCAAATGCCTTCTTCAAGTCCAAAGAACACATGTAGACCAGATAGACAAACTCCCAAGACCTCTTGAGGTCCCTAGGGAGGGTAAAGAGCTGGGGCCTCATGTACAAAGACTTGCGTGGATTTCTTACTGAAACGTGGCGTACGGTCAAATCCAGAAAACAGCGTACGCACAAAAAAATCTAGATATATCAAACTGTGTGTACGCCTGAATCCACGCACGGTTCTTTTGTACATAATTAATCGTGGAACTGATCGCAGGTAAGACTCCTCCCCGACACGCTTTCATTAACAAATCATGTTAATGAAAGCGTGTGTGAAGGACATGTTTTATCCCTGCACGATCAGAAATGATTTCTAGAGTCAGGAAAATAATGAATTTAATAAAATGTGAGTGAGAAAAGAAATTCTACGTAAGAATAAGAGTAAAATATGTTTGTCATGCAAAGAACGAGTGACTATGTGTGTCGGTGAAGCTGCTGTTTTGCGCAACCGGCTCATCCATTCATTCTGAGCCTGGAAATATTAACTTTACGCACAAGTTTATTACCATAATTAGAGAGGAACAGAGGAACKTAAATGTTTGGTAGAACATAGATYTTTGCTTCTTTCATCWCTGCACCTCAGTACTGGAGGGTTTTCATGACGTCACATAATGTTGGAGAGTTAGATTCAGATGGATGAGACCGTTCCATGTCGGACATGATTCTGCTTTGGGTGGACTGGACTGGCACAGTCCTGATCGGTCTGCCAGCTCTCTTTGGAAAGCCCCTGTGGAACCCCAGTTCAATCGCTGCTGCTGCACATGCATGCGCACCGGATCCTCGCTGTGTCGAGTGTCTAGAGGAGACAACTTTTTATGCAAGCTATATAAAASTAAATGTACGTCTACCTTAGTGGGACTTCTGACACTGAGAGGAGGCCAGGGTCTCATAGATTGGCAGTATGAGGTGGTTSAGGTGTAAGCAGGTCTCCAGATGATCATCAGTCTTTGTGGATCTGTTCTTGGACTTGATGATTTTCATGTGAGAGAAAGCTGACTCAAGTTCAAAGCASCTCTTCTGATGGTGGGATAYGTTTCCTCTGACAGCAGACTGAAGAACTCTCTATCCATGCCACTTGTTGCTCTGGATTTGATCCCAGTGTCATTTTGCAGAGTCAAAACCTCATTTTCAACACCAGAGCGGTCCAGCTGAAATATGGACACGAATTTGGACACATCCATCCATCCTGGTGGACAACTGCACGTCTTTATAGCAGCCACAACCTCAGTTTTATTTTTAAAATCACGGAAAAGCACGTCTGCAGCATCAAACGCTTCTTTCATAACTTCGTGAAGACGTTTTTTTTTGTGTGTGTGTGTGTGTTGAGACAGGTACGGGAACAGCCTTACCTTTAGGAGGGGGAATCCATCTCATAGCATCTGTGCATATTTTTGAAAGAAATGCAGTTCCACGTTATCCTTTTTGGACAAGCCAAGGCAGCGCTCGAATTWCATATGAGTCCTCTTCCCACTCCAGGTGACAATAATAAGTTTTTATTTTTGCTTGTTAGCTGTCTTTCGTTCAATTTTTTCCCACCTCGCTGCCATTTTTTAACACGTGACCCTAATCTAGCAAGACCATATTCGGAGTCCTGTTTCACAGCACCCAAAACTTGCGAGACTGGAGTACGTTCAAGAATGCAATGCTAAACAAACATTGCAAAGAGTGCGTTGACGACTGCAATGTTAAAGAAATGTTGCCAAGAGTGTGTTCAAGGCTGCAATGTTAAACAAACAAGTGTTGCGTTCTACTAGAGCGCGTTTAAGGCTGCAATGCTAAACAATGTTGCTTTCTACAAGCTCCGCGATCTACTGCTCTGCAATCGACTGCTAACAGGCTAAAGATCCCGATCGACTGGTTGGCCTGTCCTGTTGTATAGCTTCTACAGGTACATGTCAAATGTCCCCTGTATGTACAAAAAGTAGCAAAGTGCATATTGTCCGCCTGCCAGACTGCGTTCTATCCTCAAAACAACATCATGTAGGCTTTTTCTGTAGAAAGACCTGCCTGATATGCATGTTGTTTAGGACTTAAAAGTGATAGCATTAAAATACCATCCCTAACATGTCAATCTATTAATCTCTACATTCCACGTTAAGCTGATGGGTCTGAAAGATTTTGCTTCTCTATATGTTGGCTTGCCAGGTTTGGACAGAAAGACAACCTTTGCTGCCCTCTGCCCAACTGGTATACGACCATTTGTTAGATAAGCAAAATATATTATAGTTATTGTGTCCAGAAGCAATTCCAGTCCTCTTTGGAGAAGAACAGTAAAAATATCATCTGGACCACCAGCTTCTAATGGGTCAAACATATTAATTGCCCATTTTACTTTGCCTTTAGTAATAATACTTGCAGCTCTGCTGCAGTCGTCCTCTGTTGGATTTGAGTTAGCAACTGTGACAGGATGTGAAGTCTCTTCTGCCCCAGTAAAGTGTACCTGGAGAAGATGCTGAAGCACACTTGTCTGTGACTGGCAATCC